TTAAAATAATTTTCCACAATTTCCTAATAATATAGTATATATTCTGTATGTGTAGAGTGGTTTCTGCAATAAAAATGAACATTTCTGGGGCGTACAGGTGACTCAGTCAGTTAAGCGTCCGACTTTGGCTCAGGTCATGATCTCACAGATCCCATGTCGGGCTCTGTGCTGACAGCTCAGAGCCTGGAGCCTGCTTTGGATTCTGTGTTTCTCTCTCTCTTTGCCCCTCCCCCTACTCGTGCTAAGTCTCTCTGTCTCTCTCAAAAATGAATAAACATTAAAAAAAATTTTAAATGAACACTTCTGGTAATCCATTCCATGGTGGGCCACTCTAAATGTGGGAAAGACCTCTTCTTACTGAATAGCAACTTCTCCCTTTAACATCTATTGCCCCTATTTGATTTAGTTACTTATGGAGTGAAATGTTATCATCTAACTTTTTCCCCTAGCTTCTCAAGTTCTATTTCCAATATCTTCTATCACAGTTCATATAGTTCATTTTATAAGTTATGTGTTCAGTCACCACACAAAAGTACTGTTACATAGTTTAAATTTCAGAGCATACAGTTTACAGATTTATAACTATAAATTATCCAAGTATAACTCTCTTTTTAAATAGCTTTACTTGAGAAAATGACAGCAAATATCAAAATAAAAAATATTTCAAAGCAATCATTCAAACGAAACTCATTAAAGCAGAGTTGGATATCTTCTTTTCTCCTAATCTGTGTTTTGTCTTTTCTTATTCTCTTCTGCTGAGGAATTATGGCAGGCACCAGACACAAAAAAAAGATGAATAACATAGTATTCTCTTTTATAACAGGAAAGAAAGACATGTGAATAATTAATAGTAATGCAAGGCAGGAGGAATAAGTACTACTTATGGTAAAGGTAACATGCTACTGAAGGAACTTTCATTTTCTGCCTGGTAGGATTTTGAGTAGGCCAATAAAAAACAAAACAAAACACAGTTTTAGAAAGATATTTCCTAAAGATAAATGTTAGAATAAAAACTACTACCCAAGAGCTTAATTGCTATGAAAAAACTGATACTTTTTTTTTTTTTTAGTAATATGGAAGGAATGCCTCATGTGATGCTTCTAGTGTATCTTTTTATAACACAGAGCAAGTTGAAAACTTGTTTCCAAATTATGAATTACTTCCTCAAATGAATACGTGCATAATGGCCAGTCTGATTTTATATTGCCTTATTGTTCTTTGTAAACACATGACAGTTTTATAGAATAAAATCTGATCTCTGAAAATGTTTATCTAGGAACAGGATCTGACTGTTCTGTTTCAGAATTTTAAGTGTAAAAGTAGGATTTATCAGATAATGTTCTTGAAATCATCATTACTGAATAAGAATATAGTCTATAAGATAAGCTATCTGAAATGATAGCTAGTGAAGGAGCTGGCTAAAGCTTTATATAACCATTGATCTCTTGTTTTAATTTTTTTCCCCTACCCATGAATAAAGTGGTTAAAAATTTTAAAAACATTGCATTCTACTTATTAAAGTTCCTTTAAAATGACTGCCCAAGCTTTGATTTTTCTTTTTCCTTAAAGACTTATTTGTTTGTGTCTTCCACTTCCCACTCTTTAACAATTCAGCTACTTGTTAGGATCGTTTTTCCATCTTTTTTTTAATTTTTATTTTTTTTTTTTAATTTTTTTCAACGTTTTTATTTATTTTTGGGACAGAGAGAGACAGAGCATGAACGGGGAAGGGGCAGAGAGAGAGGGAGACACAGGATCGGAAACAGGCTCCAGGCTCTGAGCCATCAGCCCAGAGCCCGACGCGGGGCTCGAACTCACGGACCGCGAGACCGTGACCTGGCTGAAGTCGGATGCTTAACCGGCTGCACCACCCAGGCGCCCCCATTTTTCCATATTTTTAAAAAATTTTCATGTAAAGTTTTTTTCCCAACCTTTGTTAGAACCATTGCTTATCTACTCACCACTGGTGTTTTGTCAAACACCTAGTAATAAAAGCCTAGTTTAAAAATAATTGCTATCCACATTATACTTCAAACTAATTGGTACCTACTCAGTAACACCTTTTCATAATCACCCTTCCACAAATTTCCTGTCCACTCTGTGCTTTTTCATGTACTTACTAACATCTGACTTCTTACATATTTTACCTTTTTATGTTGTTGTACGTCCCGGGCTTCTCCTTTCTTAGACTTTGAGTTCTGTGAAGGCAGGGCTTTTTCAGGGCTTTTTGTTAACTGTTCTTTCCATGGTGCCACAGAGAGTCCCTGGCAAATAGTAAGTCCTCAACATGCATATTTTCTGTATGACTAAATGAAGAGTATTGAATCTACCTTTAAGTAAAGGAAACAGATGCAAGGGGGTTACAAGTTGAGGGAGCGTGGCAGAGAAGGCACATGAAGGAAACTGGTGTTGTATAGGCAAAACTTATTTTCCAAAGAAACAATTTATTTGGCTCAATGAAGAGTTTTCTAGTTTTGAATTTTATTTTATTTATTTTACTTTTATTCCTTTAGGTACCTTCATCAGTTCTCACTATTTATTGTCTCCTACCCTAATTCATACATTGTTGTTAACTATTTGAATATTATACTCATATGAGTTTGTGACCCCTTATGAAATGCATGGCATGCTTACGTCAAATTTATTGAGTTACCTTTGTTATGAGCGTGATGAGTGTAGATATACCATAGGGAAGTAAAATTGGTAAGACAGTTCAGTCCTTTTTAGACCTCAATTATCCTATACTATTATTTGGACTTTAATCCCTGGTAATGGAGATAAAGATGTGATGTGACCTGTGCTTCAGGGTTTAGTGGTAGGTGATTCTTTATCCTAGGGAGGATCAAAAAAGGTCACCAGATGAGGAAGGAAACATTTGTGTACTAATACATATTTTTCACAGTTGAATTTGAATTATCACCTTTAAAATTTTTTTTTCTTTTTTTTCAACTTTTTTTTTTTTTTATTTATTTTTGGGACAGACAGAGACAGAGCATGAACGGGGGAGGGGCAGAGAGAGAGGGAGACACAGAATTGGAAACAGGCTCCAGGCTCTGAGCCATCAGCCCAGAGCCTGACGCGGGGCTCGAACTCACTGACCGCGAGATCGTGACCTGGCTGAAGTCGGACGCTTAACCGACTGCACCACCCAGGCGCCCCTGAATTATCAGCTTTTAAAGAACAGCATTTACTCTATAATATTTTCATCTGAAATTATACTCCAAAGCAGCATTGTCCAGTCAAAATTTAATGCAAGCCTTATATGTTATGTAAAAATTTCTCATAGGGGTGCCTGAGTGGCTCAGTCATTTAAGTATTGGACCTCAGCTCAGTTTGTGATCTCGTGGTTCATGGGTTTTAGCCCCATGTCAGGCTCTGTACGGACAGCTCAAAGCCTGGAGCCTGCTTCACATCCTGTCTCTTTCTTTGTCCCTCCCCAAATCACGCTCTGTGTGTGTCTCTCTTTCTCTCAAAATAAATGAATAAACATTAAAAATTTTTTTTAAATACAATAAAAAAATAAAAATGTCTCATAATGTAATATGCAAAATTAATACAATAATGTATTTTATTTAACCTTATATATCCAAAAATATTATCACTTCAGCATATACTCAATTAAAAAAGGATAACAGATACTTTGTATTGTCTTTTATTCTAAACCTTCAAAATCCAGTGTATACTTCCTTACAACACCATCACCTGGGACTAGCCACATTTCAAGGGCTCAGTAGCCACAAATAGCTAGTGGCTGCTGTATTGACCAATGCAGCTTTAAGGTTTGGTTTAAATTATGGAAGGTCTGTCATTTCTCTAAATGGCATTGATAGTAGGTTATGTATTGGTGATGGCAGTTGAAAATCTTGATGGAGTGTTTAGAAAAGAGGTATTGTTACATGAAGCTGTGGAAGTATAAAATATCATCTAGGGACAGTGGTTTTATAGGAACGAAAAGATAAGTTTCAGCAGTCCCCACTTTTTTAAAATTTTTATTTATTTTTAATATGAAATTTATTGTCAAATTGGTTTCCATATAACACCCAGTGCTCATCCCAACAGGTGCCCTCCTCAATGCCCATCACACAGTTTCCCCTCCCACCCACCCCTCATCCCATCTTTTTTTTTTAAATAAACATTTTGTAAGCTAATTTTAAAAATTTATTTATGTATTTGAGAGAGACAGACAGCATGAGTTGGGGAGGGGCAGAGAGACAGGGAGAGGAGAGAATCCCAAGCAAGCTCAGTGCTGACAGTGTGGAACCCTGTGTGGGCCTGGAACTCACAAACCGTGAGATCATGACCTGAGCCTAAACAAAGAGTCCAACACTTAACCTACTAAGCCATTCAGGTGCCCCATCAGTTCCCATCTTTTAAGCAGAAGGCACTGGGGAGTAATCTGAGGGTCATGAAAGCCAAAGGGGGCAGTATTTCCAGGAAAGTGAGATTTGCCTTTTTAAATGTGTTGTATTTGTCCATGTGCAACTCATTTGTGATTTTATGAAGAAAGGCTTTAGTGGAATGGTGGGGTCAATTTGTTTTCCAGTTGGTTTGGATCTCATGATAGTTCTCTTTCCCAATATTTGTGTGTGTGTGTGTGCGTGCGTGTGTGTGATCATGGTATTAATTGTATTCCGTTTTAATTTTCTTTGAGATCTCTTCTTTAGTCAACTCACACAAAAATGGGTTGAGACCATTTTTATTCATAACTTACTTTATTTCTTTAGCTTGGGTTGAGAGTGGCATTTAACCTGAGTTATTTATCTGCAGGTGTTCTGGAAAGGGATTCAGATAACAAACTGTCATTTAAGAGAATTATCTTAAAATGTTATGTTTCTGAATATAATTAGATTTTGAATGCTGAAGGAAATACACAGTTTTATATTATACTTAACGTATTAGGGGTGGATATGGAAAATGCATATGTACTTATTGCAAGTCAGCAGTTTTAAAATGTGATGTTCTGGGTATTTTTAGCTTGAAAATCTTTTCATTTTCTTCAGTCATCAAGAGTCCATATAACTAGAGCTGTCCTGGAGCAATTTTTGTCCTTTGCAAAGTACCTTGATGGCTTATCTCACGGAGCACCTTTGCTAAAGCAGCTTTGTGATCACATTTTATTCAACCCAGCCATCTGGATACATACACCTGCAAAGGTATACGTTTTGTTCTCATTCATTTCATTTTAGCGTAATATTATAAATTATAGTTATGGACCTAAACTCTCCAGTGGAAAGCATTTGTTTGGACTTTTCGACCTGTTTTATAATCAACCTGAAGCAGTTGAATTCCACAGAATCAGCAATCAAAATCTGAAATATGTAAATATTAAACTAAATGAAACTGTAGTTGAAATTAAACTGATCTAATAACTGCATTCTGAAGTTAGTGGTTGTGATTCATATCTTTCCAAGAAAGAATTTGCTACACTGATTATTAAGACTAAGAAAACAGAAAGTAACAGGTAACTAATTATGCCATGATAAGTACAATCACAGTGACTGGAAAATTGCTTTTATTGTAAATACAGAGTTTATATCATGATTGTAAACATTATTTATTTAAAAATAAAGATATACATTGTTTTTTAGATATCAAGATAAAATTTTTATTTTTTTTTTTACCTAAATTTAGCCAGATTTAGCCCTTTATTTATTTATTTATTTACTATAGCCCTGTTATAGTCTACTGGAAGTCAATAATAATGGACATTTTTCATGAATGTGAGCTTCCTTTTACAGTTTTCAAGTTTCCCATACAACTTTGGTTACATAATATAAGTTCTGACCTTTGTTGTTTAGCAAGTTAATTGTGGTGCTAAATTCAAACTTGACGTTTGTTCACTTTTTAAACAAGATGTTTGGCTTGTCCTCTCTCTGCTTACATGCTTAGATTCTGATACTGTGGGAGTGGGTTAAGAAAATTTGAAACTACCTGAACTTTTAGGATATAGGACTATGTATATTTTTTCCAAGTATGATATAGCTGATAGATATTAGTTCTGTTTCTTTCAGCTGCTGAAATATACTTTGATTAAAGGCTTTAGTCTAGTTAACTTCTTAAATAATTTGGTTTTCCATTCAGATACTTTTGATAGATTATTAAGTCATTTACAATTATTTCATTGGTAATAGCCACTAGATTACTTTTATTAAAATAAGTTTTATTAGAATGTGTTGGCTGCAGATTTTTTTCAATATAAATAATATTTAATTAAAAGTTATTTTTAACCTCTTAATAAATGGTTCTTTCTTGGCCTTTACTAATTTGCATTTAAATTAAAATGTATATTTATAATAAACACTTGAGGCATTTTAAATTTATTTTAATGCTTTGCTAATATTCTGTATTAGGTTCAGCTCTCCCTATACACTTACTTGTCTGCTGAATTTATCGGAACTGCTACCATTTATACCACCATACGCAGAGTAGGAACAGTATTACAGCTAATGCACACATTAAAATATTACTACTGGGTCATTAATCCTGCTGACAGTAGTGGCATTACACCTAAAGGATTAGGTAAGTACAACACTACCACTGTATTCATGGTACTATTACTGTTCTGTATGCTGAGTACTGTTATAGGGAACAGATGTGCATGGTTATGAAAATATCCTGAACTATTGTCTTTCTTAGATAGTAGCCTTATGTGTTGAGAGCTTTTTGTGATAGAGAAGTTTATGGATTTGTAATATTAAATTATTTTTAGAATAAAGTCAGGTAAAAAATAATATTCTACCTTTTAGCCAGTGTACTTGTTGATACTTGGGAAGATATAGGCATAGTATTAAAAACAGATGAAACTGATCATGGCCACTGTGTTCTAATATAGTTGTTTTGGTGCTTTCAGATTGTTGCCTTTTGTTTATATTTTACCCCAGACTTTACCCTTTATTCTAAGTATAGTAGAAATTAATTTTATTCTTCATTGTGTTATTGCTAATTTTCCTAATTATATAAAAATACATACTCAGCATAGAAAATAAAATGATATAGAAGAAATATATTATTTATACCCAAATCCCAGGAATAGTAACTGTTACATGTTTGGTGTGTGTGCTTCCACTAAATTTCATTGAATTGAATGTATGAAATACTTAAACTCTCTTAACAAAATTGAGATTTTCTTGATTTTTTTTTTCTTATGGGTTTTTTTTTTTTTTTTT